TTAAATGAATTTTAGAAATAAATATTAATTTATAAACTTTTAATTAGCAACGCAGCTTAGGTGCGCCAGAATACCCTACTTTACCTTATACTTAAATAAGATCGAGTATCATGCATTATGATTTATTATTAAAAGTAATAAAATTAGGTTTTAACCGACTTTTTTTATTCTCATGCTACGTACGTACATCTAAACTAACTAATTTTGTGCGCTATATCGTTTGCCAAATGATGCAATTTGTTTTTCACGTTTTAAAATTACGTGATGATTAGTGAATCGACTTAGTCAACTAAACCAGTTGATTTTTAAAAATTTGACATAGTTGATTCTTGGTTGACTATTTAAGGATTAAGAATTGACCGATTAACAGATTAATAATAAAAACATTAAATAACAATACGCACGTACCTAAATCTTAATGGACTTATGGTTCTAGGCAATCGTTGCAACGGAGATTTGCGCTATAGTTGGTCGAGACCCGATGCCAGCTTTATCGTGTAAAGTTATTTGAAAATATATAGTTCTTGATTTCCTGATACGCCACCTAGCGATAGTTGGAAGTTCATTTTATTAACCGATCGCCATGTGATCATGTGATCATACATAATTCAGTACTGCTATAATTACAGACTTAATAACGATAACGATAAATTTCAAATTTCAATCGGTCAATCCTAACGCCAAAACTGCTTATAATGCATATAAGTAGTATGATATTTCGATAGAGAACAGTTACGTAGTAGAGTGGTGTGCATAAGGCTTATGTGTAGTCTAAGCTTTTTTAATGCCTGTAAAAAAAAAAAGATGCCCAATCAAAATTGTGATCTTTAAAACCCATAGGCCATGAATATAACCATTAACACTCACAACTGCTGAACACACAATTGTTGAACACACTCACAATTGCTGAACGCACTCAATTGCTGAACACACTCACAATTGCTGAAAACACCCACAACTGCTGAACTGTCCTACAGAGAACAACCAAAACAAGACCACTATAAAGTTCAAAGAAATATTCTGATGTAACTCGCGGGTACAAGAACTCAATTCGACTATATACGTTAACTCTAATGATAAGCTTGTTTGGTATTATATGTACATATAAGAACTTTGTAACGAGTGTATTTTGTAGATATCAAAAGTCACGTGCAAGCCCTCCTATTATTTTCAAGGGAACTCGGCGAGATAAAATTGTATTATGAATTAGCTTTATAAAGCAAATAATCAAAAATAGAATTTAGAATTCCTTCATTGTTACTGCGTCGAGAATGGGTCCATAAAGACGATACGATGAAAAATGTGTAAGGATCAACTAATTGTTTGTGTAACATCACCTTGTGCGCATCACCTTGTGTGCAACGTAAACTATCTTAATAATTGAACACTAAAATTAACTAAAATTACAGATTTTATTTCCCGCTTCTATGATACGTATTGAAAAGGTGATATATTACGTATTCATTTATTGGTTATATGTCACTATGGTGCTCCTTTAAACGAAAATCTTCTTTATATTCAATTCATTCCATTATATTATATTATTCACTTTGTTAACGAAGTGCGTTCAAAAGCTACATAAAAAAAAAAATTCTATTTTGCTCAGTCTTTATCGTACTCCCTCACCCTAAATTATTTTGTACATTACTATATATTTTCAAAAACCTTATTACATTTTTTTTTGACGTCAGTTTTCCTCTGTTAATCTAGTTCTCAAAAATAGTTCTCAAAAAAAATGTCTCAAGTTGATACTTCGCCTGTCCATAGTGCTGTCCCTCTACCTCCTATTCAACCTCCGGATCCTACTTTCCCTTCAAAACTTATGCTTGAGCTTCGTGGCACTCGCTTTGAAATCGATCGTGAACTGTTAATGAGTTTGCCGGAAAGCATCCTTATTGTTATGTTTCCAAACGGTCTTATATTAGGTAGAGCTCTTGAATACGAAGACGAAGAAGAACCCGAAGACGCTAATTCGGACGAGGCTTTGGATTTAGACGACCAAATCATTTTTGTGGACTTCGATCCCCTTTGCTTGGAATATATCCTGAATTTTTATAAGACCGCTCAAGATGCTTTTTATTCCAACCAAGAAAGTTCTTCCGCTTTTCCTCATATTCCTACTCCAAATCCTCTTTTAAATAAACAAGCTATTATTGTTTTGAGGGAAGAGTTGGACTATTTTACTATACCTCCAAAATCTAAAAAAAAGGTCCTTTCGTCTTCCTCTTCGCCCTTGGAAACTGATAAGGATGCTGTTGAAATGTCTACTGTTGAACCTGCAATTAATATATATGAATTGAAAACTGAATGTGGAACTTATCTTCTTCATCAAAGAAAGATATTTACCGCTTTACAACGTAATGTTAATAAAGAAAATAACGTAGCTGAACAACATTTGATAGATATGTTATGTGTTTCCGGTTTTTCAAGAGATGATGAATGGGGTTATCGTAATATTGAGCCTCATAAAACAAGTATTGTAAGCATCGCTCTTGTAATACTAAAGACAACTGGTCAAAATCAAATGGCTACTGCTCAAAAATTGTTGTTATTTTGGAGGAAACCCGCGGTACGTATTCACTTTTATATTTTATTGATTGTTTAACTAAACTTTTGTTGATTTTAAGAATTTGTTAAGAATTTTGTTTAATCTTTCAATTAATATTATACAGAGAAAATGTTGGTGGGATGGCTTAGAAGTTACGGTCGGTGAAGATAAAGCCATACCGGTTCGACTGTGGTGCAGACGCACATGGACTTTGGAGTTAGCTTTGGTTTAAATATATTTATTCAACAAAAAAAAATTATCATGATAAATTGCAATAAAATAAAATAAATAAAAATACACCTGGGACGTTCGAAAAGTTTGATACTGCGCCATCATTTTAATGATCGTCTGTCCTGAAAGCCTATATAATACTACTGTATTAATAACAAGAATTTTTTTTGCATATTTAAATCTAAAATTTGTAATGTGGTTTGAAATTTTATCTTTTTTTCAATAGGAAACTCGAAGTGCAAAACTAACAATGCTTTGTTTGGGGTTGTGGT